TTTCTATTCACTCTCCTTTGGCTGGTTTTGTGCTATTTTGGACTGCTCTCTAAAAATCAATTCTTGATTTTACTGAAAGGAAGACTAAGCGTAACGCGCCTTTCCTTGAAAAGCCAGGAACAGTTGTGGTACTTCAAAAATACTAAAAATATCTACTTTCATGAAATATTAACTGTTTCACTACAAACCTAGTTTTTCACTAAATACACAATTCTCCTATTTCTGGAGTCTCTTGGGGAAAAGAAGTGGGTTCTCCCTTTGTTTCTGCAACTCTACAGTGTACAGAGGAACGGCTACAAGAAGGGGAGTGCAGAGAACAGCTTTGTTCTTTTCCTTGGCCTGTATCTCACGTGGGGAGTTGCTTCAACTTCTGCAGTTGCGCTACTGCTGGTCGCACTCCCAGCAGTCAGCTGAGCGTGCAGCAGGACAACCCACCTCCAGCACATTCCTTCTACCTTCGTGGAGACTAACTAGGCATGAGGAAAACACACATCCACACTCTTTATACCATTGCTAATCATATTATGCAGGAACACCACGTGGTTTCCACGTTCTTCCAATTTGCAAAAGGCCACAGGAAAGGGTCATGGCACCTTCCGTGAGAATCCAGACTCGGCGTGTAACAGTGCGACCTTCCACCAGACCGTCAGTGTTGAGGCAGCGTAGAAAACAGTGGCTGAAGAGTGTGTAATACTGACCACACCAGCTCTACGAGAGGGCTCTGCTCCTGCAGAGCCAGGCATGTGCAGTCCCTGGATATGCTGTGAGCAAAAGGCTTACTTCACAGGGCGTTCGGAACGGGCAAGTCCTACGATCGAGCTAGTTTGGATTCATGAGCTTTCAGTGTGCCAACAGCATCTTTCACTGCGTGGTAGATAATGTTCTTCACCTGCAACAGGAAACAACAGTCAGTGAGAAAGTCTCGCACCCCGTGCAGTCCACGGACAGTGGCTGGTGAGTATGCGTCAGGTACGTACTGTCACTGCTTCGGGCTATCAAGGGCACAGATGACACAGTTCAGACACCTACACTGATGTACCAACTCCTGATCACCCAGCAACACAGGTTTCCTTATGGCAAGATACAGTCTCTCTCTTTGGTGAGAGCCAGGAGGAACTACGCACAAAGTCATGCTCGTGAGTTCATTTTGAAGTCCCAGTGACCGAAGTCACTTACAGATTCACATGAATCAAACCCGAAGTGAGCAAGAAAGTCACACGGTTTAACCCTGTGTAAATTAAGACGATGCAACAAATCATCCTGTTGTCATATGGAGAAATTCTTCCAATCTGTGCGTCGTCCAGAAAGCCAAGCAAGATCAGAGGTCAGAAATCCTGTGCTACTCACAGCAACCCGTCCCACGCTCTGCTATTTAACAGTCAAAGCTCCACCTTGTTCCTAATCCTTCTAAGTTAATTGGAATTGGGTTTCTAGGTCCTGAGCAGTTTCATCTTTAGGTGAGCAGCTTAAGCGCACTCGCTCCACCAACTGCCGAGCACCGCCTCCTCCTGATGCGCGCGTGATCTCCGTCTGCGTATCACCCACGAGACCGTCCCCTGTGTATTTTTCAATAGGCACTAAAATACGTGTTTATAATGATAATGTACAAATGTACAGGGAAAGCGACAAAGAGGGACAGTGCCGTTTGGCGGGGCAGCACCAACACCACTGAGTTCCTTCCCGCAGGGCACCCAGTTCCACGTCGGAGCAGGTACTTTTGGCATTAAGCACTGCCCGTTTGCAGAAACCCTTCCCCGTCCGCACGGCTCCAGCTGAACTAAAATACGTGTTTATAATGATAATGTACAAATGTACAGGGAAAGCGACAAAGAGGGACAGTGCCGTTTGGCGGGGCAGCACCAACACCACTGAGTTCCTTCCCGCAGGGCACCCAGTTCCACGTCGGAGCAGGTACTTTTGGCATTAAGCACTGCCCGTTTGCAGAAACCCTTCCCCGTCCGCACGGCTCCAGCTGAAGAGGCAGAGTCTCAGACTCCCGGCATGGCAGGCTTTGGAGATCACCCAGCCCAACCCCCCTGCCCAAGCAGGGTCGCCCAGAGCAGGTGGGACAGGAACGGACCCAGGCAGGTTCGGAATATCTCCAGAGACAGAGACTCCCCACCCTCCCTGGGCAGCCCGTTCCAGGGCTCGGGCACCCGAAAAGCAAAGCAGCTTTTCCTCCTCTTGACATGGAATTTCCTGTGTTCCGGGTTGTGCCCAGTGCCCCTTGTCCTGTTGCTGGGCACCACTGAAAAGCACCTGGCCCCCTCCCCTTGACACCCCCCTTTAGGTATTGATAAGCACTGACAAGGTCCCCTCTCCGCCTTCTCCAGGCCAAACAGCCCCGGCTCTCTCTGCCTTTCCTCCTAGGAGCAGTGCTCCACTCCCCAGCTCACCCTCACAGCCCTCTGCCGGACTCTGTCCCATAGCTCCCCATCTTCCCTGAACCGGGGAGCCCAGAATGGGACACACTACTCCAGTCACGTTTCTTCAAAGGAAAACACATCTAATTCTCCTGTTTGGGACTCACTTAGAATCACAGAATCATTTAGGTTGGAAAAGACCTTTAAGATCAAGTCCAACTGTAAGCCCAGCCCTGCCAAGTCATCTATCTGGACTTGTGCAGAGCATCTGACACCAGCCCACGCGACATCCTCGTCTCTAAACTGGGCATGGATTTGACGCGTGGACCACTCGGTGGGTAAGGAACTGTCTAAGTGGGACTGGGTTTTGCCGCGTGGACCACTCGGTGGGTAAGGAACTGGCTGGATGGTCACGCTCAACGGCTCCGTGTCCGAGTGGAGAGAACACCGAGCGGCGTTCCTCAGGGGTCGGGACTGGGACCGGCGCTGTTCAACATCTCTGTCAGTGATGTGGACGGTGGGATTGAGGGCACCCTCAGCAAGGGGGCTGGAGCACCTCTCCTGTGGGGACAGGCTGAGGGCGCTGGGTTGTTCAGCCTGGAGAACACACGGCTCTGGGGAGCCATTATGGCATCCCATTCAGCACTTAAAGGAAGGGACAAACCCTTTAGCAGGGCCTGTGGTGATAGGACAAGGGGTGATGGTTTTAAACTATGAGAGGGCAGACTCAGACTGGATCTAAGGAAGGAATTCTTCCCACAGAGGGTGGGGAGCACTGGGACAGATTGCCCAGAGAAGCTGGGGATGCCCCATCCCTGGGAGTGTCCAAGGCCAGGCTGGATGAGGCTTGGAGCAACCTGGGCTATGGAAGGTGTCCCTGCCCATGGCAAGAGGTGGAACTGGGGTGGCTTTACGGTCCCTCCCAACTCAAACCAGCCTGTGATTCCATTAGTCCACTCCTGAACCACATCCCTGATTTAAATAAGCAAACCTTCACTTGCAGAGAAATTTTCCTTTAGCCAATAAAGAAACAAATACAAGTGTTCTTGGTCAAATGAATCTCTTCCAAATAAAGCACTTTTTTCCTTCTCATTCTTTTTTTTCCTGCTATGCTTCACCGTAATCCTGGATTCAGCTATTTAAAAAAAAACTTAACTTATCCTGCCACATGTGCTAGTGGGAAAATTCTCTGGGCAACCATATCCCCTGACTCTGTTCTGGTCATGTAACCCTGCAGGCACCGGCGCTTTGGTTCTTTTAAAACATTTACCCAAGGAGAACCTCCGAAGCTGGGGGAAGTTGTTATCTTTTTCTTAAATCATTACCCACACATTTCTGGTGTTGACCAGAGCTGGCAAAACACAGGGTATATTTAGTGATTACTGTCATAAAATCTGACCTGAAGCTTATCCTCATGGTTTGTGTGAGTGTTGGAGAGGTGCCTGAACTCCTGCGTCAGACGGAAGCAGTGCTTCACATGCTCTGGAGATACAAAATCTTCTGCCACTTTGATGCAGCTGTACAAATTATGGACCTAAAGAACCCCAAGTGGGAGATACATCAGGATGGAGTGAGCCACACAAACCCCCCAAAACCCCAACCCCCCCCCTCCCCGATGTTGGGGTCTTCCCCATTCACTTATCAGGGACAGGAACTGGAGCCCATTTCATCTCACACAGACTCAAACCGTGTCAAACCAGAACAGCACACGACATCTCACGCGCTCCCCATCCTCCTGCAGGCACCAGAGTTCCCTAAGGCACGTTCTCTGCTGTTCTCCACACGTTTTTGGAATTCTGTTCCCCTGGCAGAAGTTCCACTACACAAAAATGTTGCCCCACCACTCACCCTATTGTTTTTGAATTCCCTCCCAGCACTGTTCACATCACTTGGGTGTTCACGTGATTTTTACTACAGCCATGCCCAAGATCCGACTCGGCTCCCGCGAGAGCTGCGTGCGCAGGAGGAACCGAAGTCTGTTAACATGCACTAGCAGTTCCTGTGGAGTCGCAGTTCTGCTGTGCCTCACATTCCCCTCTAGCTGTCAGCACGGGCCCGAGGCAGGATACTTGCCTGATGGGGGGCACCTGCAGGAATGAACACCGCATCGCCGAGGAACTGCACTATTGCCCAGCCTTGCACACCATACTCATCATAGAGACGCTTGCGTAAGGTCTGGTCCAAGTACCAGCTTTGGTCGTGAATGGGGTCGTGATCCGGGGGATTCTCCTGGCCTTGCTCTTCTCCAACCTACGGCCAAGATATGGGGTGGGGGGGAAACCATGACATAGCACCTTGATATTGCCGGCTCACAGAAAGCTCTGGATCAAAACCCAAACTATTTCAAGGTAGGCCATTACTGTCATTAAGCTCATTTAGGTCTTAAGTAGTGACTTGCACATGAGTATGAAGATTCTAGACCAGGCTGAAAACCTGGGAGCATAACAACAGCCCCCGTGCTCCGGGAGAGCGTCAGAGTACGCAGGCGCTCGGGCCAGCGGGGCGCATCGTTCAGCCGCTGCCAGCAGGCCGGTGCTGCAGCTCCGTAACCGACGTACCTTCCGGAGAAGCTCCCGTATCTTTTCAGCATCTTTGGCAGCGTAGATGTGCCACAACGCTCCAGGTTTCTCCCTTCCTTCGTGGATGCGCTGCTTTGTTACGTCGTCGGCATCTCCCTCGTCGATTGTTTTCAGAACCTCTGAAAGGGAAAGCCACACGGAGCGATGCGATTACAGAGCTGCTGATTTTTGACATAGCAGAGGAAGGAGCACTTTGGGCTGCTAAATCCAGACATGCTGGAACTGTAGCTGCTGCATCACACAGGGCCCTTTCTAAGGGCATCGAGCTTCGACTTAACAGAATTCAGGAAACAGGTCAATTGGCAGCTAATCACTTTGCTCAGTCAGGAACTGAAACTGAACCAACTGCAGTGACTCAAATACAACAAGAAGAAAGTAACTCATCACCCTTCCTCCTTTCTTCAGAGAGATTTCTCATTTCCAGCTGCTTCCACAGCTGGGAACCAGCGAAGTGTTACGGCACTTCCGAATACCTGCTGCAGATGCAGCCAACTGGCTTGTATATTCGGGTTCTATCCCATAGGTATGACAAGTTTAAACAATAAAAGGTACAGTCCTCCTCCTCCCACACACAACTGATTTGTAAGGGACAGAAAACAGCTCTCCTCAAGCATTACCATCATCGTGGGTCCCTTCCCCAATGGGAATCCCAACATACACCATGACATTAACAGCATCGGACACATCCAAGTGCAGGTTTGTGGTACCAACTCGTCTGTCTTCTGCAGTAATTAAGCCTGTAATAGAGTGTAAAATAAAATCAAATTCTATTTAAGCTCTTCTAGAAATAACCTGCCTGAAAGGTCTTTCTAGAACGCTAACTCACACAGCAATGCGAGCAGAAGCTGATGTAAAAGGACGGCCGAAGCAGTTACTTTCATGTGTGGCATAAGGAAAAAGTTTACCGGTAACTAGTATTTTTTATTTTACAGGAATTGTAAATCCGCACCTGGCAGAGAGTGGACTCGCAGAGGAATGGATCGCAGGACCAATGAAGAAGAATGACCGTGTGCTCTAGGCTAAGCACAGAGTTTTGATCCAAGCCACAGCCTCGCGCACGCCCCAAGTGTAATGAAGAGTCACCAAAATGACCACCTGCAGAATTGTTCTCACATACCGTAGGCGTTGTACATCTTGGGACCCAAGTCAGGACGGACAAAGTAGCTTGGCAGCCTAGAAGCCAAATTCAGTCTGCCATCCCTCTTGGTATATTCAGGAAGAGGAAGATTTTCCATCAAGTCCTCAAACCTAGAGAGCAAGACAAGAAGAAAGGCACGTTTCCCTCCCGCAGTGCCCACAGCAGTCCTGCAGGCACTGACACTACGGTCTGCTTACCTCGTAGGCATCATATCCCTGAAGTCCTCCCCCGGGGGCCAGTCCTTTAACTTCAGTACCATGGGCTGACCATCCTCCGACCTGAGCCGTTCTGCAAGGCACAAACCATTTCTCCATGCAATGCCTTCTTACCACAGCCCACTTGTTCAAACCTCCTCTCAACTCTGTCGCTTCTACTAAGGGCTCCTACATCGCGCAGCAAAACAGACCCCGATTTTCCTTTGGGTTTCCAAGCGCTATTGCGGAACGACTAAACAAGGGTTTAACAACTATGTACCTATCGTTCCCTACAGCAGACGTTTGCCAGATCTTGCACAGCTGTTAGGTTTTTAGAACAGCTTTTATTCCGCTTCAAAACTCCAAGCCTTCCTAGAGCACTCTGCCTTCCTGCTTCCATCCAGGTCTGAGAGGTCTGTCTTTCATTTCAAGAGGTCTGACCTTCTCTAAAACTGAAGTCATTGGTTCACGCTCTGAAATCCGCCCCGACTCGTATAAAGCAAGGAGCCATGGTACCCCATATGCTCTAAACAGCTAGATGGCAAGTGGTTCCTGAGGAAGACAGCCTTTAGGGTTGGCTTTTGATTCTTCTTTGCTGGAGGCACTCCAATTAGCAGGGTGCTGAATTCCCACACGCGTTCTTCACGTCAGGAGTCGTACGCAAGTCCTGCCCGGTAACAGAGAGAGCGGGAGCCCAGAACGGTGACATCACGTACCCAAAGGTGGATGCCTACGACAGCCCCGAGCACACCAACCGCTGCTGCGCCGCAGATGTCACCATGGCTAAGAGAGTATCTTGCAGGGAGGGGTACGTGCGGCAGCGCAGAAGACTCGGCATTAACATTTAGAGAGAAACAGAGTTCACTGTTCTACCAGATC